GTTTGAGACTCCAGTAAGCCATGACCATGCCACTGCATTCCAGCCTGGGTGACTCTATCTCAAAAAAAAAAAAGAGTACACTCTTCTATCTGATCTTTCAGTCAGACTACTCCCATGTCTCTGGTGGAATGGGAGTAGAATGGAGCTGTATAAATGGGACAAGGCCTCCTGGGATATGACTAGAAGGGAAAGAGTGGTGCAACATGACCCAGAAGGGGCAGGGAGAACAATGTAACATGGGAGGACCTCCCTCTTCCCATATGCTGTTAATAATAATGTGATCTACCCGTTCTACTTCGATAGAAAGTAGGGCCGGGCATGGTGGTTCACACCTGTAATCCTAGCACTTTGGGAGGCTAAGGAGGGCGGGTTGCTTGAGCTCAGGAGTTTGAGACCAGCCCGGGCAATGTGGCGAAACCCTGTCTCCACCTAAAATACAAAATTAAAAAATTAGCCGGGTATGGTGGTGGGTGCTTGTGGTCCTAGCTACTCAGGAGACTGCAATGGGAGAATCACAAGCCTGAGAGGTTGAGGCTGCAGTGAGCCAAGATTGCGCCACTGCCCCCCTCCTCGGTGACAGAGAGAGACCTTGTCTCAAAAAAAAAATAAAAGAAAAAGAAAAGAAAAAGAATCACTCACTAGTAAACTGAGATATGTGGACATGATGAGGTTTTCCCTTGTATGGGCTCTCCTGAGTACTCACTATCTAGACATCAAATCACTATCTGTATAAAAAAGGTTTGTGAAAGTAATATAATTCAAGGGAATATGTTTCTGTTTATGGGAGTGAAAAGAGTGCTGAGTGATATATCCAATTATTATTATTATCATTTTTGAGACGGAGTCTTGCTTTGTCACCCAGGCTGGAGTGCAATGGCACGATCTTGGCTCACTGCAACCTCCGCCTCCTGGGTTCAAGCAATTCTCCTGCCTCAGCCTCCTGAGTAGCTGGGACTACAGGTGCATGCCACCACGCCTGGCTAATTTTTGTATTTTTAGTAGAAACGGGGTTTCACTGTGTTGGCCAGGCTGGTCTCGAACTCCTGACCTCGTGATCTCTCCACCTCAGCCTCCCAAAGTGTTGGGATTACAGGCGTGAGCCACCGTGCCTGGCCAAAATACCCAATTATTAAGTGAACGGTAGTTACAATTAGAAGGGAAACTTGGAGAAGGCAACATGGTTATCTGACTGGAATAAAAGAAAATGGGGAATCCTGAAGGGGTGGCCTGCCCCTCCACACCTGTGGGCGTTTCTCATCAGGTGGAATGAGAGATTGAGAAAAGAAGTAAGACACAGAGACTAAGTATAGAGAAAGAAAAGTGGGCCCAGGGGACCGGCGCTCAGCATACAGAAGACCCATGCCCCAAGCAGCACTGGTCTCTGAGTTCCCTCAGTATTTATTGATCATTCTCTCTACCATCTCGAGAAGGGAATGTGGCAGGGCAATACGGTAATAGTGGGGAGAAGGTCAGCCAAGAAAACATGTGAACAAAGGTCTCTGTGTCATAAGTAAGTTTAAGAAAAGGTGCTGTGCTTTGATGTGCCCATACACAAACATCTTGGTGCAATATATTGCCACTAGCATGTCTCACTCCCAGCCCTAAGGCGGTTTTCTCCAGTCTCAGTAAATAGAAGGTATAATCGGGTTTTACACCTAGACATTGTATTCCCAGGGAGGAGCAGGAGACAGGTGCCTTCCTCTTATCTCAACTGCAAAGAGGCCTTCCTCTTTTACTAATCCTCAGCACAGACCCTTGAAGGGTGTCAGCCCTTCCCAGGAGGCCATATCTCAGGCTATCACATGGGGAGAAACCTTGGACAATACCTGGCTTTCCTAGGCAGGGGTCCCTGCAGCCTTCAGCAGTGTATTGTGTCCCTGGGTACCTTCCGCAGTGTATTGTGTCCCTGGGTACTTGAGATTAGAGAATGGCATGACTTCTAACAAGCATACTGCCTTCAAGCACTTTTTTAACAAAGCACATCCTGCACAGCCCTAAATCCATTAAACCTTGGGTCAGCACAGCACGTGTTTCTGCAAGCACAGGGTTGGGGCTAAGGTTATAGATTAACAGCATCTCAAGGCAGAATAATTTCTCTTAGCACAGAACAAAATGGAGTCTCTTATGTCTACTTCTTTCTACACAGACACAGTAACAGTCTGATCTCTCTTTTCCCCACAGAATCCTCTCTCATGGAAGTTTCATGGTAGGCAAATGCTCAGATATCCTGGGGGAAAGACTATTTCAGAAAGGAGAGAAGAAACATTCTCAGCCATAGCTTTTATAATTTGCAGAAAAGGACCCTTGCTGTTTTGGATTCTTTTTTTTAAAATGTGAACAACATAGAAAGAAGGGAGTCAAAAGAAGCCACATGAGGCTGGGTGCGGTGGCTCACACCTGTAATCCCAGCACTTTGGAGACCAGCCTGGCCAACATGATGAAACCCTATCTCTACTAAAAATACAAAAATTAGGCGTGGTGGCGAGCACCTGTAATGCCAGCTACTTGGGAGGCTGAGGCAAGATAATTGCTTGAACCCAGGAGGCGGAGGTTGCAGTTAGCGGAAACGACACCATTGCATGCCCACCTGGGTGACAGTGAGACTCCGTCTCAAAAAAAGAAAAGAAAAACAAAAAAACCATGTGAAACCTCTTACTTTAGTTTCCATAACTTGGTTAAACCTGCCTAGTTAACTAATAAACATTTACTATTAAATATTAATCATTATGCTAGATAGTAACTATTTAGTAATACAGGTTGGGGAAGTAAAGAAAGTAATTACACTGTAGGCTCCAGACAGTTTAAAGAAATTTTTCTTTTAAATGAAGTTTGAAATTTGATTTTTACAGTAAACATTTTAATCAGAAAATGACTATTTTAATTACTACAAGGCTGACCTTGTGATTTTTAGTATTTCAAGTACTTTTACTTTGCTTAGAGTGATTTAGGAGGGCATTAAATCACCCCCAGTTTCATCCAGGGGCAAGCAGGGGGTGGGTTCTGTGTGGGAGGGAACCTCATTTTTTTCTTCTGTGCTACATATAGAGTCCTCCTCATTTCAACATATTGGATTTTGTTTGTATGATGTTTCCAGTTATTGCAACCCTGTCATCTAGAAATTATAATTTTACCTCTTAGTTTCCAATGCTTATGCTATTTTACTTATTAGAAACTATCATAATTCTGCAAGCAAAATGACATACACCACACACAGAGTTCTTCAGTCATTAACATCACTTACATAGTGATACATTTTCAGTTACCATGGAGTGTACACACAAAACCATGATAAACAACAATTAGTAGATACATTGTTTCCTGTGATCTCACCTACTCCACAAAGCCACAATCCTATGGACCCTACGTGACATTCACAACCCTGCTGAGCCCATCTCATAATTCCATACGAACATAGCAAAGCAAACTCAGAAACTACTTACTCCAGTTACACAATCTCACACCACAAATCACAACTAATTATTCTAAAAGGCTCATCAGCTTCTTGGAAAGTTAAATGTAAAGTTACCAATTACCCGCAACTTCTCTTCTAAATATTTGCCCAGGAGAAATAGAAAAGTGCCAGCTTTATTCATAATGTATCACACCTGCCAAATGTTCAACAACAGAAAAATGGCTACACAAATTGTGGTCTATTTGCACAGTGTAGTGCTGTTCAGAAAAAGAAAACTGAACTACACATGAAATCTCGCAGACATTAGGGTAAAGGAGAAATATGGAATTCCGGAACTGACAGTTACAGTGACACAAATCAGAACTATGGCTGTCTCTACTTTGAAACTGCAAAGGACACCAGCAAACTTTCCGGTGCTGCTGGTGTTGTAAACCAAAAATAAAATCCTAAGCACCCCCAGACCATCTGAATGGACTCCTCCTCTTGGCCAGGGCATTCCTAACCTGAAAAACTACTAGTAAAGTCATGATAGAAAGGCGGGTGGCGGGCTGGACGGACATGCCTCATTATACCCTCCTCCATTTTGGAATTACTGATTAAAAAAAAAAAAAAAAAGACCCCAAGTCTGAAAAGAAACATTTACACTCTTTTATGTGTGAAGCCTGCTACTTGCTATCCTAAGTCTTACGTTAATAACTCTCAACCCATTGTCAATCAAATAATCTTTGAATCTATCTATGACCTGGAAGGCCACCCACCTTCCAGTTGTCCCGCTTTTTCGGAGGGAATCAATATACATTTTACATGTATTTGATTGGTGTCTCATGTTTCCCTAAAAGGTATAAAACCACATAAATCCCGACCACCCTGGGCACAGATTCTCAAGATCTTCTGAGGGCTGTGCCACCGGCCATTGGTCACTCATATTTAGCTCAAAATAAGTCTCTTCAAATACTTTAGAATTTGAGTCTTTTCGTCAACAGTGTAAAACACGCACTAGGGCGGACACACACACACTGAGCCTCCGCTACCCGCCAGATTCCATTCCGGGGCTTTCTCATGGTGCAAAACGGACAAAAACTCCAAGTCACCCTCCGGTTCACGACCACGGATCACATCCTGAGGCCCCCACATTTAGAAACCAGAGTAAAGCAAAACCTCGCCCGACTCAGGCTCCGAGTTCTCCGTTCGACCCTCCCCAGCCTAAAGCCGGTACCCGCTTCAGGCCTTCCCAGCCCGGCCCTCCAGTTCCTTCTTCGGCCTCCCTTAGCTTGGGGTCCGGGTTTTCTCCTCGGCTGTGCAGCCTGTCCGCGACTCCCTTCACCCTCCCCAGCCCGGGCTTCCGGTTCTTTCCAGAGGTGAGGCAGGGGCCACCTAGACTTCCGCAGTCCCTCACCTCCCTCACGGTCACCCTCCTCCCAACTTCCTGTTCCTCATTCTGCCCTCCCAGCCTGGGTTGCCGGTTACTGCCTCAACCTCACCTTGCCGTCGGGGACGACCAGCCGCCTCTTCCGCGCCGGGAGGACGCGCAGCCGCAACCTCCGCCGAGGGAAAGGGTCTACGCACCCGGAAACTCCAGGAGTCTATGGCCTGGTGTCGCCCCTGTGGCCAAAGGACTCGGCTTCAGCTTCAGGGCGCTTTCGTTGTTGGACTACGTTTCCCACAGGCCCCAGGGCCGCGGATGAACTTTGACCTTTGCATCTCTTTCCGGTGTTTTGGTTATTGAGGTAAGCCTGACTCGGGCCAGGCTGCGGGAGGAGCTTGCGGTGAAGTGTCCCCGCGCTGCCTGCCAGGCGAGGTCAGTCCACGTGGAGCCGGGAGCCTCAGGCCTCTGTACGCGGGAGCTGCGGACGATGGTTGCTGGTGCTGTTGCTTGTTATAGCGTCATTGTGGTGTGTGTGTGTATGTATGTGTGTGTGTGACGAGACCCTAGTGTGTGCCGTGGGTGCTATTTGATCGGGCTCGGTGAGTACGGGCGGGGCCTATCGTGTGACCCTGGTCTATGGTAACGTGATCGTGTGACAGCACTGTTGTGACTGACCAACTATAAGTATGAACGGGATAGAGGCTTTTTTTTTTTTTCCATGAGCCTGTGGGAGTTTGTTTTGGGTAAAGCGTCATTTTTCCGACTCTGGGATGTCTGTGATGTAATCTCTTCGTGAGGTCTTACACACACACACACAGACGCATATAAACAGATAGATTAGACAGCTATGTGGAAGATAGATAAATGATAGATAGATAAATAGATACGATAGATAAATGAAGTTTCCTGGGAAAGGGGAAGGCATAGGTGTAGTATTCATTCCTGGGATAACTCCCCTTGCATGAATTTGGAGGCCATTTATACATTAAAGAACTACAGTATTTCCTGAGCTGTGTCCCCTGGAAACTGCTGTGAACTTAAAGAGTACACCTCTAGGCCTTGGTCGTACCTTTTTCTCGGATACAGGGCGGAGTCGACAATATTCTAGTTTCCCTCTTCGATCTGGATGTGTTTGTTGTGTGTGATGGGCTTTTCTGGTGGTGAACAGTTTGTTCTTATTTAACCAGTCCAGGATGTCATGAGTCCTTTCTCCCTCTTGGTTATGTAGTTCTGCAAGTGAAGGCCCTCTGAAGTGGAAGACAGCATTGGTATTAATGGCCAGCTCAAGGTTAGTTTATTTTTTTGTTCATTTACCTGTCCCTTGGCCTTCCCTTCCCAATTAACAAGAAGACCGTAGAGATGGGTCTCCTTGTCCTCCAGTGACTTTCCAAATGCCCATTTCCTTTTCATTGAATATTCACATACCCATTAGGTAAATCATTCCATTCCCCCATGTGCTTCTTTTTTTCCAAAGGATTCTTATGGTATAGAAATACAACTCTGGGAGAAGTTAAAACATTTTTTTAGAATGTAATTTGTTAAGGAGGAGATGAGTGATTAAGTAGAGTAGCACACTAGATACCTTTGATCTTATTTATAGACTTGATTTGCAAACAAAGCAAGATAGGAGATGGTAGTTATTAATCAGTAAGTGACAAAGTTGGCTTTGGAGACATCTAGGAGTGGGAATATGATAGGAGTTTTGTGCAGAGAAGGCTATGTCAACAAGGGCAGGGAGGGCAGGGAGTTTTTCCAGAACATTCATGAGGGGATTTAAGTGGTGACAACCAAATCTTGTTTGAGATTTGGCAGTGTGACTGATTCAGACAACATATTGGTGTAGATGGTGAGAGGCAGCCTGATACAGTGGTGTTTGAGTCTAAAGCAGCACAGTCTAATACTAATATAATATAAAGCCACTTAGGTAATTTAAAAATTTCCATTAGACAGGTTTTTTTTTTTTTTTTTTTTTGAGACGGAATTTCACTCTTGTTGCCCAGGCTGGAGTGCAATGGTACGATCTCAGCTCACTGCAACCTCTGCCTCCTAGGTTCAAGTGATTCTTCTGCCTCAGCCTCCCGAGTAGCTGGGATTACAGGCGCTCGCCACCATGCCTGGCTAATTTTTGTATTTTTAGTAGAGACGGGGTTTCATCATGTTGGCCAGAATGGTCTCAAACTCCTGACCTCAGGTGATCCACCTACCTCAGCCTCCCAAAGTGTTGGGATTACTGGTGTGAGCCACTGTGCCCAGCTTTAAACACATTTTAAAAAGGAAAAGAAACAGCTGAAGTTAATTTTGGTAATGTATTTTATTTTATTTATTTATTTATTTATTTATTTATTTTTTTTTTTTTTTGAGACGGAGTCTGGCTCTGTCACCCAGGCTGGAGTGCAGTGGCCGGATCTCTGCTCACCGCAAGCTCCGCCTCCTGGGTTCACGCCATTCTCCTGCCTCAGCCTCCCGAGTAGCTGGGACTACAGGCGCCCGCCATCTCGCCCGGCTAGGTTTTTGTACTTTTTAGTAGAGACGGGGTTTCACCCTGTTAGCCAGGATGGTCTCGATCTCCTGACCTCGTGATCCGCCCGTCTCGGCCTCTGGTAATGTATTTTATTTAAATCAATATATCCAAAATATTATTTCAACATGTAATGATATGAATACACTGAAGTACTTTACACTCATATCTTTATACCAAGTTTTCAAAATCTGGTGTATGTTTTATTGTTATTGCATGTGTCAATTTGGATGCTAAATTTTCAGTGTTTAAGGTGTATTATAGTCCTACCAACACAATAAAGTTGCGTTTAATAGAAAAACATTTATATTGCTTTTGTATTTAAATTTAAATTAATTAAAATTAAATGTAATCCTGTGTTAATTAGCTTAGGAAAAGAGAAATTTTAAATTCAGTTATATGTTCACACTTCATTTCAAAGGGGTTAATAGTTACTCATTTTTCCACTTTACAGTTTCTTATTATAGAATGTAGACAATAATTATATCAGTGCTTTAGGGTCTTTGTGAAGCCTGGATACATTAATATGGACATAACCCTAGAGAATGTAATAAAGGCCTGGCACTTTAAGTCCTTATCTACAAGGGAAGAAAAAAGCTGGTTTGTGAAGATTCTTAGTATTCCGCATACATTTTCTGTAAATCAAAAACAATGAAAATATAAAGTTAACTTTGATGGGCACTTGAAATGAATTTTTTAAAAGCCAGATTTGCAAATGTTCTATTAACTTAAGGCAATTTGACTGTCTTAGGTTCGTTCGGTGATTTGCTAGAAGGACTCACAGAACTTAGAAAAGCTGTTATGCTCATGGTTATTGCTCATTACAATGAAAAGGTGCACATTAAAATCAGCAAAGGGAAAAGTTGCATAGGGCAAAGATTGGGAGAAACCAGATGCAAGCTTCCAGTGCAGTTGCACGGGCAGCACCTGATTCTCCCAGCAACAATGTGCGAATACAGATGTAAGGCATGGCCAACCAAGGAAGTTCTCCTAAGCCATGGTTTCCAGGGTTTTTTGTTTTGCTTTGTTTTCTTGTGGTCTCATGGGGTTTTTTTTGTTTTGTTTTGTTTGTTTGTTTTTTGAGATAGGGTCTCGCTCTCCCGCCCAGGCTGAAATGCAGTAGTGTGGTCACACCTCACCGCAGCCTCTACTTCCCGGCCTCAAGGGATCCTCCCACCTCAGCCTCCCGAGTAGCTGGGACTACAGGCACACACCACGACACCTGGCTCATTTTTGCATTGTTTGTATAGATGGGGTTTTGCCATATTGCCCAAGCTGCTCTTGAACTCTTGGGCTGAAGTGATCCGCCTGCCTCTGCCTCCCAAAGTGTTGGAATTATAGGTGTAAGCCACTGCCCTGGCCCGTGTCCGGGGTTTTTATTGAGGATCAGTCATGTGGGCATGAAGGTTCTGTGCACTGACCTTAGCTACTTAGTCACGCCTATCCAGAAGTCAGATTTGTACAGGTATTTATCATAAACCACATTGTTACAAAAGCTATCTGGCATGGCTAAGACCTCAGATATACATAGACTCTATTATCAGGCAGGATACTCTAACTGCTCAGAGATTATCTCCCAGGAGCTGGGCAAGGACTGTTTCTTCTTTGGAATATACAGGGTTTGAGCACTCTAAACCAATTCTTCTTCTTCTTTTTTATTGCAACAGAGTCTTGCCCTGTCACTCAGGCTGGAGTGCAGTTGTGTGATCTCGGCTCACTGCAACCTCTGCCTCCCAGGCTCAAGCAATTCTCATGCCTCAGCCTCCCGAGATGCTGGGACTACAGCTGTGCACCACCACACCCAGCTGGTTTTTTTTTTTTTTTCAGTAGAGACAGGGTTTCGCTGTGTTGGCCAGGCTAGTCTGGAACTCCTGGCCTCATGTTATCTGCCCGCCTCAGCCTCCCTAAGTGCTGGGATTATGGGCATAAGCCACCATACTCAGCCAGTTTTTTAAAAAATAATTTATTTCTCTTTGTTGATACGTCATTTTCCTGATTTCCTTTTTCGTTCTTTTTCAGTTTTCCTTTAGCTCTATAAGCATATTTAAGACAGTTTTTACAAAGTCTTTTTCTAGTTACTCCAATGCTTTTGTTTCTTCAAGGGTAATTTATTTTGCTCCTTTGATCGGACCCTGTTTTCCTGTGTCTTTGTATGCCTTGCAGTCTTTTGTTGAAAATTGGGCATTTGAAGAAACTTCTACTTCTCGTAATTTTTGCAGACTGTTGGAGAAGATCTTCACTAATTAGGGCCTTGGGATCATCTCAGGGTGAAAGTCTAAAGTCTTATGTTTTTCCTGGGTCTGTAGTGTGCCTGTGCTTGCACCTGTGTATGTGCTTTTACCAGTTTCCCCAATATGCATAACTGCTTTCAAATGTCTTAATTTCCATAGGGTCTCATCCTTACTTTTTAGGCCCTTGATGTTACATTACATTTTTCCACCAGTAATCGTTTGCTCCAAGTATCCACAGGTGTCCAGGCAATTAAAATATCATTGAGTTTTGCATATTGATCTTATATCCTGCAGTGCTGCTACACTTATTTCTAGTTTTAATAGTGTTTTAGCTTTGATGCACCACAGTACTCACTGTCCTTTGTGGCTTTTACCTGCCTGAGATCTGAGCTGTGCAGCTTTTTACATGTCAAAACTCAAAAGTCAGAGTGGCTCACGCCTGTAATCCCAGCACTTTGGGAGGCCGAGGCAGACGGATCACTTGAGGTCAGGAGTTCGAGCCCAGCCTGACCAACATAGTGAAACCCCATCTCTATTAAAAATACAAAAATTTGCCAGACGTGGTGGCAGGTGCCTATAATCCCAGCTGCACAGGAGGGTGAGGCAGGAGAGTTGCTTGAACCCAGGAGGAGGAGGTTGCAGTGAGCCGAGATCACGCCACTACACTCCAGCCTGGATGACAGAGCGAGACTCCGTCTCAAAAAAAAAATCAGACAAAACAGAAACCAGTACCTCAGTACCTCAAGGAGCCCACAGACAGATTAGCATGTTCCAAATAAGCTCTGCTTTGTTCCTTCTGGCCTGAAGGGGGGAAATGGGAACTGGGCTGCTTCTTCCAGGCTACACTAGAGATGGAGTAAGGGCACAAGTAACATAATCAACAAAGTCACTACCATTTTGAAGTGGCTTTCTCTTGATTGGGCATTTGTTTGATAATTATAGTCTTTGAGTGATTTCCAGACCCTTACAAAGATATTTTAGCTAGTCTCTAGTTGTTTTTTAAATGTTTCAATAGAGAATAGGGAATTGAAGCTTCCTCAACTGCCATCTTGCTGATGTTATTCTCATGGTTCTGTTATTATTTTCCTGATGTCTAATGATTTTGAGCATCTTTCCATGTACTTGTTGGTCATTTGTTCATCTTTTATGAAGAAATGTCTACTGAAGTCTTTTGCCAGTTTTTAACTTGGGCTGTTGGTCTTTTTGTTGGGCTGAGTTGTAGGAGTTTTTATGTATTCTGGATGTTAAATGCTTATGAGATATATGATTTGCAAATATTTTCTACATTGTGCAGGCTGTCTCATCAATTTCTTCTATAATGACTTTTTGATGCACAAAAGCTTTTAGTTTTGATAAATCCTAATTTATCAACATTTTCTTTTGCTGCTTGTGCTTTTGGTGTCATCATTTAAGAATCCATTGCCAAATATAGGCCAGATGCGGTGGCTCAGACTGTAATCCCAGCACTTTGCGAGGCAGAGGTGGGTGGATCACTTGAGGTCAGGAGTTTGAGACCAGCCTGGCCCGCATGGTGAAACC